GAAGCAGCAAATAATCAACATATTTCTTCAGCTCAAGAGTCTGTGAACTTGTGTGTTCTAGGTAGCGGGGAAAGTACGGGTCAACAGTCTGTAGGGTGGACTAGACCTGAGACTAAGAACCATTTTGCACCAGATTAAGGTGAAGGGAGGCTGCTGCAGGACCAGGGTTGTCAAGGAGGTGGAGGACGCTGCCTGCCTGCTTACGTACTGGCTGGAACACAGATGATCCCCCAAGGACTTCCAACAGAGGGACGTTGCTTTTTGGATGTTTTATTATTTTGTATGATCTGTTCTCTCCGGTGCTTTATCAGTTAAGTAATGAGCATAGAGGTGATAGTTTGTACACAGTATGTGTGTGTGTTTTGTCTGTTTCACAACCATTGCTTGTGTCAGCAGCACATATACTAAAATTGGAATGATACACAGAAGATTAGCATGGTCCCTGCCTAAGGATGACATGCAATTTCGTAAAGCATTCCATTAACTACTGACCGCCTCTGTAAGTGTTAAACTGTAAACCAAAAGCTTCACCCCTCTTCAGAGGACTATTGGAAGAGTGGTGTGTTTAAGTACAGGGAAGTCTGAAGGGCCAGAGCTGTGCCCAGAGAGGCCAGGCAGTGGCACAGCAGATTCCAACATGTGGAGGGGGTCCTAGATAGAAGGTCTGCACTCTGAGAGTGTGCCTAAGATTGAGAGCAGTAGCTGGACTGCATTCAGACTCCAGGAACTTGAAACACCCTGGGGATCCAGAGCAAAAGGGCTTGGATTCCCCTCACAGCAGTCCTAGTGGGTGGCCAGGAAGGGGCACTTGTTAGAATCTGTAGCATTGCCCACTACTGGTCCCCAGCCTACACTACTCCCTACGCATCCCATCCCCCTCACCAAACTGTTGCAGACAAAGGAATCTGCCCCACCCTGAAGTTGCCTACATGTGTCAAAGGCAGCAGCTTCATATGTTGCTCTCTCTCATTGGGTGCACAACTCAGCCTACAGCAATTAGGAAGCGTATGACCCTTTGGTCTAAGTTTGTATAACAAACTGTGGTATCTGAATGGTGGAGCCTCATTACCCAGTGGAAGCACAGAAAGGCCTCAGGGAGTTCCCAGTGATCAGGGGGCATGCACCTGCTGCTACACCCCTAAACCAAGTGTAGTAGGCTCATCCTACCCTGCCACCTCCTGTCCTACTGGTGACCACTGGGGCACAAGAAAAGAGCAGAGGAATGATTACTATAACCAGCTGGTGCACAGGGGACACAAGTGACAGATGAAAGTCTCTTTGAATCCTCCATGTATGTAAAATGGCAAAATCCCTGTTGCACAGCACACATGCACAATGGATTGGTGTCCAAACTCACCTCCCTGGGATTTGCCTTTATTGTTAACTTAACGGTATATTTCAGCCTACATTTTCTCCTAAGCTTCACTTATTCCTAGGGTTTGCCCCCACAAAACCTCTGTTTCTACCCCTATTTGAAAGCCCAGTTTCTTTGCTGCCTGCAACATTACCCTTTCCATAGCCATAAATGAGATTCAGCATGCCCCTGAAAATCCTCTGGAAATCAGGAGATCAGAAGTGTGCTCTAAATCTCTCTCCAATAGAGCAGCCCCTGTGTTAGCCCACCTGATCTGCTTTGTAATGGGAAGACATGTGATAGAGTAACACCGATGTAAAACTGGTGTAACATAGTGGAAAATCTGACCTAGCATAATCTTACTCAATATATCTGTTCCTTGATTATAACTTGAGTCATAACTGCTTAGTGTGACAAAATGAAGTTTGTATTACCTTTTACTTTAATTAGTACTGAAAAGCCAATAGAGCTATGGGGAAGGGCCTGGACTTTATTTTGCTTTATGGATATCAGCAGAATCTCTAATTTAGGGCCCATTCCTGCAAACTTTACCCCCAAAAGTAATACTATTTCAGTCAACATGACTGCTCATATGAGTGAGGCGTAATCACATGACTAAGGTTTTACGGGATCAAGCCTTGAATTCCAAATGCAGAATCTTTATTTTTAGTGATGTTGCAAAAATGAGCTTGGTTTTCAGATATTAGGCTAAGTTTACAGAACTAGCAATTAGATAAACCTCCTTTTTATTTGTAAAATGAGAAAATTGATTCTGAAAATCACTGACAGGCAGTAAATATGGAACTCCATGGTGCCATTTTTTCAGAATACAACCCCACTTCAAGTTTAAAAAACAGAGTGAAAAATATAACAACGTAAGAACGGCCATAGCGGGTCAGACCAATGGTCCATCTACCCCAGTATCCTGTCTCTGACAGTGGCCTGTGCTAGGTGTTTCAGAGGGAATGAACAAAACAGAGCAATTTCAAGTGATCCATTCCCCGTCACTTGGAGGTTTAGGGACACCCTCAGCATGGGATTGAGTCCCTGACTTTCTTGGCTAATAATCATTGATGGACCCATCCTCCATGAACTAAACACACTGCTGCTAACAACAGGAACGATACTTTAGTTGCTTATTGCTAGAGCTGGATGTGAAATGGAATTTTTGTCCCATGGGGAAATTTCAACATTTTGAAATTAGTTTCTGTTCTAAACTGGAACAGAAACTCAAAATATCAATGAGGATAATAAATAAATAAAATAATAAATAATCCATAGATCAAAATATTCCCAAAAATCTGAGTATATGTCAAAAGAAAAAATATTGACATTTGCCATCAAAACGAAACAATTTGACATTTCATTTCAAAATGCAATTTTTAGTTATGTCTTCTCATTGCAAAAAGTTGTATTATGTTTTTGAATATACATGTTTTTTCCCCATATTACCAGAAACTCTGTCACAGAATTTCAGCAGTAACTGCATATTGCTCATACAGTTTCATAATCTTCCATTGGGACTTGATAAGTCTATCTTAGTATGTGGTAAAGATAATTGTACACTACAAAAGTTTTTGAAAATCTATTATTCAGAGACGACCCATGCCTGCCGATAGTTGCGGGGGAGGGGCAGAGTGAGGGCAGCCCGCTTCAGCAGTGTTACTGACCATGCTCAATCTGTGTGAGCATGCTCAGTACAAGCCAAGCCGCAAATCTGGGGGGGGAGGGGGCATATGACCCAACATGCCTCCCAGGCATTGCCTCTGCTATTATTATTATAATACCTTGTATTACTAGTCATACACCAGGACTCTGATGTGCTAGTGCTTGGCAAACGAAACAAAAAGATGGTCCCTGTCCCAAAGAGCTTATAATCTATAAGCAATCAAGCTGTCTTTCTGCCTCAAACAGGGAAACTTATGGTGGTTTGTAGTGGGGCGGCTGCCCCACTCCGTGAGAGTATGGGCTGTGGCAGGCCAGTGGGCCTGCACAGACGCACAGCCAATGGGAGAAGCACTTATTGGGAGCCAATCAGGGCCCAGGTTGGAGACAGCCAATCAGGGCCAGGCTCAGCCCTATAAGAAGGCTGCCCCAGAAAGGCGCAGTCAGTCTGTCCTGGGCCTTTGAGAGGGGAAGGTCAGTCTCCAGAGCAGGGAGACTAGCACCGTGGACAGTGCAGTGCTGGCCAGGCTCAGGGAGCAAAGAGGAGTTCTAGCCTGAGGCCTGCCAGGCTGCAGGCCCTGAAGGGAAGGGCCTAGTGGGTGCAAGGGGCCGTAGGGGAAGTGGCCCAGGGAAATGGACAGACAGAGGGGAGAGAAGGAGGACAGCGAGACTGCCGCCAGAGGGTCCCTGGGCTGGGACCAAGAGTAGAGGGTGGGCCTGGGTCCCCCCCTTCCCCCACGTCCAGCCAGTGGCCATAGGGAGCGGCCATTATAGACCACACCAGATCCCTGACAGGAGGGATTAGACTTTGGGGTGTGTGGTTGACCACAGTGGCTGGACATAGAGACTGCTGATTGACCACACACACACCCTTGTGTAAGGACTAAGGGGCACTGCCGGAGGGCAGTGGTCCTGAAGAGGATGCCGCGAGTTAGTTAGCGACGTGGGCTCAAAAGTCAACCGAAGGCAAGACAACAGGCGGGATACCACTGAGAAGGGATGCTCCACTGGACTGAGCTAATTCCCAGAGTAACCAGTAGGAGGTGCCGTGGTGGTGAGTCCCAACCTTGTTACATGGTTATATATTGCCTCTACATAAATTCATGATATGCCCACATCTTGAGTACTGCACGCAGATGTGGTCACCACATCTCAAAAAAGATATATTGGAATTAGAAAAGGTTCAGAAAAGGGCATAAAAAATGATTAGGGAACAGCTGCTGTATGAGGAGAGATTAATAAGCCTGGGACTTTTCAGCTTGTAAAAGAGACAACTAAGGGAGGATAGGATAGAGGTCTATAAAATCATGACTGGTGTGAAGAAAGTAAAAAGGAAGTGTTATTTACTCCTTCTCATAACACAAGAAGTAGGGGCCACCAAATGAAATTAATAGGCAGCAGGTTTAAAACAAACAAACAGGAACCATTTTTTCCACACAACGCAGTCAACCTGTGGAACTCCTTGCCGGAGGATGTTGTGAAGGCCAAGACTATAACAGGGTTCAAAAAAGAACTAGATAAATTCCTGGAGGCTAGGTCCCTCAATTAGCCAGGATGGGCAGGGATGGTGTCCCTAGTCTCTTTGCCAGAAGCTGGGAATGGGCTCCGGGATAGATGATTACCTGTTCTGTTCATTCCCTCTGGGGCACCTGGCATTGGCCACTGTTGGAAGACAGGATACTGGGCTAGATGGATCTTTGGTCTGACCCAGTATGGCCGTTCTTATGGTGGGTACTTACTCAAATGAATAGTCCATGGTTACTCATTTACTTATGTGGTCATCAATACAATCTAGCCCACAGTAATTAGGAGTGCTATTGCACTTGAGATGTATTGTTTTCTAGTTGAACTATTGCTCAAACAAACAGTTAGAAATACATATAAATTTCCTTCTAACCTACAGTACTGTACTCAGCTTATTGTTTCATATTTCCTTTCCTATACAGGAAAACAGTAACCTGACATTCTTTTTTATACAAACCTTTTTCTCAATATCCTCATAGGGACTGCCACCTTCCTCAACCTATAAAAAAAATATAACGATCAGTCCCTTGCACTTTCAGTTGCAATCCTATTACTAACATTTATCACTCTTTCTTTGCTCTCAGTTTTAATCTCACACACGGAAAATTATAAAGAATAGTTTTGACATGCACACCTTTTTCCTTTACTGCAAGTTCTATTAAATCTCAAGTTGACTTTTTTACTGTATTTTAATGACCTGAACAGTGTTTGTACATTTTTACTAAAAGTAAGTTATAGGCATCAATTTTCCAAGAGACATAGTGCTTGGAGAATTACAAAGACAAACAAGTTTAATCTTTTTTTCCATGAAGAATATAATGACATGATCACAAGCATTCAGGTATGATAACATTTTGGATCAATATGCCAAATTATACATGTTTTGTCATTTACTTTATTTTTTAATCACAATACAAGGGGTTGAGTTCTGCTTTCAGATATGCAGGCACAATTCCCTTTGTGTTCAATTCTAAGGGCAGAGTATGGCCCTCAGGGCAAAACTGGGACTAGCCCTTTGAAGGTGCATAACTGTAAAAGAGAAGGAAAGCTACAAGTAGCTCATCCTCTTCTCAAGCAGAAGCATTCTGTAATATCAACCTTGAGATCACCCTGTGAATAGCCTGCTAGAGTCTTGTGTCTCAGGCCCTGATTATGGGGCTGGAAGGGACTAGGAAGAAGTCTTCTCTCCCCACAGTGGCAAAGAGCTAGGAGCTAGGCAGGTGAAGACTGCAGAGTGGAACATATACTACCCCCTTTCAAAGAGTATAACAAGTGCCACACTTTGCTCCCCTGACACTCCTGGCAAAATTGCACCTTAAGAGAGGCTTAAAGCTGCAATATGGATCTAAAAATGTAAAACTAGAACTTGGAATAAAAGGGTATTTAAAAATATCCGTTACAACTATATTAGAAGCAGTACAACAGTGACAGTACAGTACACTGAAAGTATGATCAGACAGACAGAGCCTAAAGTCCTTACTCAGCTTTTACTTTTTCTCAGACAAAACTGTAAATATTTCTGGATTTGATCTGTTATGACTGTTAAAGGTCATATAAAGGTGCAAAAACACTCCATGTTTATTCAAAATTATTTGTTCTTCCTCTTAAACAGTATCCCTTCAAATGCCACAAGGTCACTCATTTCATTATTTCAGTCCTCAATGTTCAGATTGATAGATGATTTTCAGTTTCTTGCAAATGTTCTTTTCACAAATGAAGATGTTCTTACTCAGAACTGTTTTGGAGGACACAAACCCCTAACAACTTTCAGATTTATTCATTTATATATTTGCTAATCAGAGCACTCCTTTGATATCCAATCTCTCAGTAGATTTGTATTTAAAATTATATTTAGCTTCCTCTTCCCAGTACCTGTTTTTTTGGGCAATGCCACAATAAATCTAGATTCCTCTTTCCTTCCACACAATGCCGGTAAAGAACTCCCATATCCTGACTTTATTGGAGTTATTACTGAAATAAGAGACTCTCTATTTCATTTGTGTGTCCTTCACGCTTAGAATGATAAAACCAAAATAGTTTTATGTAGGCAGATCCAAACTCCTAGCTCCATGTTCCCTTCATATGACTTGGGCCTGATCAGTTTTGACAGTGACTTCAAGTTCTAAGTCCAAAATTTGCAAAATAAGGTGCTTAATATCAGGCTCCTAAATCCATATTAAGGCACCCAAATAAGGATTATGGGGCCCTAACCTTAGTCACCCATTTTTTAAAATCTTGGACTGAGCAATTAAACTGCCTTAGCAGCGGATGGCAATGCATCTCCCAGCTGCTGAGTCATTACAAGTAGTAACTGCCTCACCCATAATCTTTTCTTTTTTCCATCAAAAAAATATATCTTCCAGTTCCAGCTAGGAAAAAGTGAGTATCTACCACATATAAACTTCAGCAAACACATTCAGAACAAAAGGTTTCAGGATCCAGGTACCATATTTGGCCTTAGTTTTCACCACTGTTCCTTGTGATCACTGTGGTTTGCAAATACCTCCTCCCCACTCCTCATTCTGCAAACCCCACTATAAAAAAAAAAGTTTGCTGGAAGTGAACAGTTATTTCATAGAATTATTAATTGTTTATTATTTGTGATACTATTAATCCCTGTTCTGATACTGATTAACTCTGTTTCAGGCATATCATTTAGCATCTTTGTTTCTTCTATATAAACTCTAGGAGCCTGGTTCCAAAGAGGATGGATCTAGACTGTTCTCAGTGGTACTAGATGACAGAACAAGGAGTAATGGTCTCAAGTTGCAGTGGGGGAGGTTTAGGTTGGATATTAGGAAAAACTTTTTCACTGGGAGGGTGGTGAAGCACTGGAATGGGTTACCTAGGGAGGTGGTGGAATCTCCTTCCTTAGAGGTTTTTAAGGTCAGGCTTGACAAAGCCCTGGCTGGGATGACTTAGTTGGGGATTGGTCCTGCTTTGAGCAGGGGGTTGGACTAGCTGACCTCCTGAGGTACCTTCCAACCCTGATATTCTAAGATTCTATGATTCTATAATGCTTTACTCAAAGGCTCATTGTGAACATTAACTGATGTTTGTAAATTAATTTGAAAATGGAAAGCATTATGTGAGAGATTGAGAATAATATCTAGATTTGCATTAGGTCTTTAAAATAATCTATCAGATTTTAACGGTATGTCCAGTTCTCTAGCTACAGGGTATAAATTGGTTATAAATCTATGGAAGGGGATGTGTGTTAGTGTTAGTGATTAATAATTATTGGGCATATTCTTACAAATAATTATCTTAAAGGTTTGTTTCTAATTATCCTGTGGAATCTGGGATCAAAGCTACTTACTCCATTACTGAATCATTTAGTTACCTATTATTTATGTTGCAAAGGGCACAGTACCTACAAACCAGCCTTTGACTTACTTGTGACATTGAAATAAAAACAGAAGCAAATATGTGTTTAATACAGGCTTGAACCATTTTGATTAAACGATATTGATTAAACACTTTTCTTCTATTTACTCCTTTTTTATATAGTTTAATCTGAGAAAACTGTCTTGTACATCACCACACCCCTTTGGCCTACAATAAAGAATATTATTTTTGAGTGCACTGAGCCTTAATTAAAAGTAAAGCTATCCTACCAAAATCTTGTAGTTATCACAACTGTAGCAGACCAACCTTTCATCTGTACAGGCTGGTGTACCTTAGCGCCAGCATACACTGTCTTTCACAGCTGCTCTGGGTTTGAAAGTGGTGGAATTTGTGTGCATTAGGTTCTAGGTGCTGAACATTCTTTGACGATTTGTCAGGTTTTAAGGCACATTGAAGACACAAATTAAGCAAACCTTACAACATACTTGTGAGGTACACTATTACTTACATTTTACAGATGGCTAAAGCAAGGCACAGAGACCTTGTCCATGGTCATACTTTGTGGGAGAATTAGGGCAATTCTACACTACAGTGCTACATCAGTGCAGTTGCACCACTATAGTGCATCTGGTGAAGATGCGCTATGCTGACAGGAGAGTGGTCTCCCGTCGGCATAAATTACTCCACCTCTGCGAGAAGCAGAAGCTATGTTGGTGGGAAAGCATCTCCTACTGACATAGCGCTGTTGTGGAAAGTGCAAAACTGGTGTGGCTCAGGGCAGGGGTGACGTAAGTTAGATCAACTTAAGTAGTAGTGTAGAGCTGCCCTTAGAAAGAGAACTTTGGTATCCGTTGCGCAGTGTTCTGTTCTAATTACTAGACCACGCTGACTCCATTTTTCATTGTATAGTGCCCAAAGGGGAAGGCATTGATACAGGAGCAATGCTTTGCAGATTAACAACTCCCTCAGAATGAAAACTACATACTGGATGAAATCCTAGCCTTATTGAAAGCAATGGCAAAATCCCACTGACTTCTATGGGGCTAAGGTTTCTGCCACACTGTGTACTGCACAAGGCTTAGAGTTAACACTTTCTCTTAAAATCTTTTTAAATAAAATATGAATAAAAATCTAGGCCAAGATTTTTCAAAAACAAGTGCCTAATGTCAGGTTCGTGAATCCAAATTTAGGGACAAAAATACATGGCCTGAGTTTCAAAAGTGCTCAACAGCCAGCTACTTCCCTTGGCTTCTGTGAGCTGCTGGATGCACAGCACTTTGGAAAATCAAACTACTTATTTAAGTGCCTAAATATGGACTTATGAACCTAACTTTAGGGTTGGTTTTGAAAATTAAGGACATATTACATTACTACAGATGTATGCATTTTAACTTATGGTACAGATGGGTTAAGGAAGTGATGATTAAATATAGGCTAGGTTCAAGTCTCAGTCAAGGCTGGTTCAGGAGCAACTGAAATTTTATGAACTGTTGTTGTAAAACTGCAGCCCCAAATGACAGAAATAGTTAGTTCAGATGATCCTGCAAGATTTCCACTACCTTTGAATAATGTATATCTCATAAGATCAGATGCTCTTGAGAGTTCAGTGGCATCAAAACCAAAAGAAGAAAATAGGTCCAGCCCAGTTTGGGATCCAACATAAGACTAAAGCTACATTAGTTGGTTTGGATCTCAGAATCAAATACAATTGTTTCACATTCAACCCTGAAATTCAAAAAGAGGTTAGATTCAAGGATTCCTATTCTGGTCCACTCTTAATTTACAGATTTATACACTTCCCCCTACTGAGAGAACCAATAAATCTAACCTCATCAGCAGGAGTACTGGAAGGTGCCACAATTTCTTCTTCTTGAACAATCTGAGCTGGAACCTAGGTGAAAAAAAATCAATTAACAGACAGAATTTGTATCCTAGGTATTAATTACTTTTCTATTACATTCTTTTGGTTTCAATTTCATTTTAACATATATTTTAAAAGAAAATTTTAGTCTACGTGTCAGGGTTCCCCCTGACTCTGAGCTACAGATGTGGGGACCTGCATGAAAGACCCCCAAACTTATATTTTACCAGCTTAGGTTAAAAATTCTCCAAGGCATAAATCCCTTTCCTTGTCCTTGAACTGGTATTGCTGCCACAACCAAGTGATTTACACAAAAATTCAGGGAAGGGTCACTTGAAATTCCTATTGCCCCCCAATATCCCCCCCAAGCCCCTTCACCCCCTTTCCTGGGGAGGCTTAAAACTAAAATACCAACCAGTTGCTTCAGCAACGTGAGTACAACCAGACCCTCAGTTTTCAGGACACTGAAATCAATCAGGTTCTTAAAAGAAGAACTTTTATTATAAAGGAAAAAGTAAAACACACCTGCAAAATAAAGATGGAAAGTAACTTCATAGGGTAATAAGATTTAAAACACAGAGCATTCCCCTCTGGGCTCGGCTTCACAGTCACAAAAACGGTAATGAAACTACCTCTGTAGCACAGGAAAATTCACAAGCCAAAACAAAAGATAACCTAACTCATTTCCTTGCCCTACTCACAGTTTCTGTGGTTTTAGATGGATTATTCCAGGTATATTTTCAGGAGATATTGTACCTGCTTGGCTTCTCCCTCCCTCCGAAGAGGGAACAACACACAGAACAACAAATAAATCCTTCCCCCCAGATTTGAAAGTATCATCTTTTCTCATTGATCCTTCTGGTCAGGTGCCAACTAGGTTATTTGAACTGCTTAACCCTTTACAGGTAAGGCAATCCAGTACAGCTGCCAAGGATACATAAAGGTTGCTACCCTTCCCCTTATATTCACAACACTAGAGAAATACTAGTTTAATAATTCGTGCTTCAAAATGTGTACACACAAAAATGATGTACTTGTTAAGAAATAGAAGCCCTGATCCAGCATACTTAAGACCAAACTCCCTTTGACTTTAGGACTGAGTATGGACTTCAAGGGGACTTTTGTCTAAGTTATGGCTGAAGGATTTGGCTCAAAGTATTTAAATAACGAAATGTGTATATTTCATATCAGTAAAAAAGTCAGTTCATAAATAATTTATATGAACTCATAATTAACATTGATGTTTGAAAGTGATTTAGCACAACCACAAGGAATGAGCATCACATTTACAATACCAAATTCCAAAACCTCCTTCCATTATGCTGAAATGGCTAATTGTTAGCTTAGCAGAAGGTTACTGAGTAAACAGGTCATTTAAGGAAGTTTACAAAATAGCATAGTTATGACAATCTCTATAAAGTTTACAGAAATTTAAATCCACACTAGACTGAATATGGAATAAAAAGAACTTCAGAAAACAATTCTAACAATGAAAAGGAAAAATCTCTTTTCCACAGTATACCACTAAAAGTAAAAAGTACAGTAAAAGGGCTGGTCCACACTAACCCCCACTTCGAACTAAGATACGCAACTTCAACTATGTGAATAACGTAGCTGAAGTCGAAGTATCTTAGTTCGAACTTACTTGTCTAGACGCGATAAATCGATCCCAGAAGATAGATTGCTTACCGCCGGACCCGGAGGTAAGTATAGATGTACCCAAAGAAAAGTAAACCATTTTTTCCTGCTATACAATGAGAATATAGATTAAACACACTGGGACACAATCTGCACTTCTTTCTCACATAAGTAGTTATATTGACTATGTAGGGACTAGTTGTATGAGTAAAGCAAGCAGCACTTGATCCATTGTCAGGACACCTTAGTTTCCTTTTCAATGTTATAACACCACTTTCTCCATGGAAACATAGGTATTTAACTTTGCAAGTACCAGCTTAGCAGGTGCTTTGGAGTTTTAAAACAAGAACTAACTGTAAACACTAACGGAACATGGGGAGTGAAAGGGACTGGGGCAGAGAGAGAATTTATCTAGGAGGGTTTGTGCAAGCAGAAAGCTGCAAATGCTCTGCAGAAAGCAGAGTAATTTCATTTTGGCTTGATGGAGTAAAATAAAGTTTGGGAAACTACCTGACTAAATACATTCTAAAAAAAATAAGAGAAGGAAAACAATTAACAGCCAGAGTAGTGCAAAGTAGCTTTAGAGTAGGGATAACCTTAGATGTATTGGTTTTTTTCAGGCAAAGAAAAATGTTGCTGCACCTCCCACAACGCATCTCCCCAAACCAAACAAAAATAAATCATCTGAATTTTATACTACAAATATAAAATCATATCTATGATGGGAGCAACCCTACCTGGCAAATAGAAAAAAGAAATGTGTATTTACTGCTATCTCTCTCTCATTCTCTCATTTACACACACATTCTATTCTTTTGTATCATTTCATTTATTTGTTTTCCTCGCTATCATTTATTATTTCTGTTCCCATCCTCCGTTTGTCCCATTCTCTCTTTTTCCTTAGGACCTTTATCATTTTCCCCCCTCTAAGGCTATCCCCATATCTTCTGATCTCTTTCCATCACACATCTCCCTGAATGAGGGAGGCATACTGAATGAGGGAGGCAT